CTGAGAGGCTGTCGAAGGTCAAGCTGCGGTGGGAGGGGCTGAGGAGGCTGTCGAAGGTCAAGCTGCGGTGGGAGGGGCTGAGGAAGCTGTCGAAGGTCAAGCTGTGGTGGGAGGGGATGAGGAAGTCGTCGAAGATCAAGTAGGAGGTGACGAGGAGGTTGCCGAGGATCAAGAAGGAGATCAAGCAGGAGGTGACGAGGAGGTTGCCGAGGGTCAAGCAGGAGGTGGCGAGGAGGTTGCCGAAGATCAAGTGGACACGGAAGTCGACGACGAGGGAGCCGTGATCGACAGTGAGTGCCGAGATGGCTTCAGCAGCGAGTGCCAAGGTGGTTCTGGCTCCGAATTGGAAGGCGAAAGTTTGGCCGGGTTCGCCGTAAGTTCGGAAGAGGGCCCGTCTGAAGTCGTGGACTCCAACGAGACGGAGGTCGCGAGCTCGAAACCACTGTCGGGTGTGGTGGACGCGATTTTCAAGGGAATGTCTGAGGAGGACGTGTCGGAGACGGCGTACGAGGCTGTGGTGGTGCGGACGGGAACATCGCCGGTGGACGATATCCAGGTGGAGTGGTTGCCGGAGCAGCCTTTGCCGGAACCGCATACGCCGATGCCGACGGTGCCGGTGGTGGAGCGTGTGGCCAATGACGACGACTTGGCGGTGGCGGCTGCGAACGTGCGGAAGGCGTGGCTGTTGTTGGATGCGCACGCTGTGCCGTCCCTGGTGCAGGACGAGGGGCCTACGGAGGTGGGACTGCCGATGCGGATTGCAATGCTTGCAAGTGTGTTGTCGGACATCATCAACGAAATGGACGCGCTGCAACACGTGGAGTTGCACTACATCAAGGGCCAGAATCTCGTTACCACTACCACGACGACCGCCACGCCTGCACTAATGGATGGACTCGGTGCACTTTCCCCTTCTAGTAGCGCACTGGCGCCAGGTGGGATGGGAGGCGGTTCACTTCCCGGCGGTGCCTTCGGCTTCGGCCGGAACCTGCCGTTGTTCCCCTACGGGGGCCTGTATGGTCCCCGCACCTTGACGAGACCGCCCGTTCTTACTTCGCCCTTCTCCTCGCTCTGGCCCAACGGCTCCGTCCCCAGACTCGGTGTATCCAGCATGCACCCGGCTCCCATCAACCCGCACATGTCGTTGCTCAATTACCCGCTCTTCGGCCGACAGTTATTCGGCGAGTCGCCCAGCCGGAACCGCGGCGAGAGGTCTGGTCAGGGAGTGGCCAGTCAGAAGACCGGAGATGGGTCCCTGACCGGAGATGGGTCCCTGACCACTCGTGAAGGAGCCGTGCAGGAAGACGTGAAGTTTGGCAACAGCCTGCACTCAGAGCTGCCGAGAGATGAGAAGAGACGGATCTGGGACAACTTCCTATATGAGAGCCGGAGATCGGGGCAGTCAGTCGAAGCACAGAACAACCTGCTCCGTAGTCTACAGGAACCTAGAGGCCTTCGGGGCAAACAGGATGGACATAGAAACGAGGAGCAGGACCGCAAGGAACAGAAGGGGGCCGAAGGGTGGAACGAACAAGGAGTTCATCACAATGACATTCCTGCGAGACCGCGAAGGTTGACCGAGGTAGCTTTGACCCACGATGGCTACCAGGCTCTGAGCATCAACCCCAATGTTCGGCAGCTGGGGGAGGAGCTGAGTGACTTACTGTCGAGCTTACCGCCCACGAGGGAGTTCTTGAAGGTGTCAGATGTGGATGTGGGAAAGATACGGACGATTGGTGAGAAGATACAGTACGCCGCAACGATTGTGCGAAGACAACTGGCACACGGAGACTTCAACGTGCCTTTGATCGAAGCAGCACGGCTGTATCTAGCAACTCTCGAACATGAAAGCCAGTCGAAGCTGATGGAGTCGCTTAATCGAGCCACGACCAGAGATGACGCTGAGTTCATCCAGTTCAAAGACCAATATCAAATTGACGCAGAACTTGAAGTAGGACTTCTGCTACTTAGTCGTCTGCAAAGTGTTTTAGCCAAGTAACTAGATAGTTAGTTAGCATATGGACGGGGTAGTAGGGGACTGGGTAGTAGGGGACTGGGTAGCAGCGTGCACTGGGTAACACGTTTTCTTAGAAACGTGTGCAGACGTGTGTGGCAGGCCGTATTAGGAAACACGCCAGCGGGTCGCGTTGGGTGGTAGCAGGGTGTTGTCTGGGTCTAGAGTCAGCGAGGGGGAAAGGAATCAATCACACAGCATTGTCGGAAGTGTACAAAAAATTAACGTGTCAATTCTTCGACTTCTTCTTCTTTGAAGCTTCTGCGCCACAGCTCGCTCGTTTTCGTGGAGAAGACTTCTCCTCCACCCGACTCTTTTTATGCCCGTCAGCTCTGTTGGCCGTCTGCTCAGACTTCCGTTTCCTTGTATCTTCCTTAACCACCACGCTGGTTACACTTTCAGAATCGCTGCTGCTAGATGATTCACTTCCCGAACTACTGCTGTCAGAGCTACTGCTGTCAGAGCTGCTGCTGCCAGAGCTGCTACTTGACGAAGACGGCTTCACCATAGCGCTGGGCTTCTCATCCCCGGATTCGGAACTGCTGTCAGAGCTGCTGCTACCCGAGCTACTGCTGGACGATTTGCTAGCCCTAAATACCGACTTCTTCTTTTCACCTTCGGACTCAGACTCCGAGCTACTGCTATCCGAGCTGCTGCTAGACGATGACGGCTTGGCCACGGCGACGGGCTTCTCATCCTCAGACTCAGAGCTGCTTTCAGAACTGCTACTCGAGCTACTGCTGGATGACTTAGCCTTAGCAACTGGCTTCTTATGTTCATCCTCGGACTCGGAGCTGCTGCTATCAGAGCCGCTGTCAGAGCTGCTACTAGACGATGACGGCTTGGTCACAGCGGCGG